TATATATATATATATATATATATATATATATATATATATATATATATATATATATATATATATATGAAGGAGATATAAATTTTGAAATGTATTATTTTCATTCATTTATAAATAATTGATTTATAATTTTTAATTCCATAATCATATTTGAATTGATATCTATAACCCCTCTTCATTTTACAAAAAATTTTTTTTTTTTGTAAATCTACATTTGCAGTTGTCCCAATAACATTTCTATCCTTTTTGTAAAATTACTCCTCTCTTATTTTTAACGCATCTTTGATTCTTCTCCCCCTCTCTTTATATGTTATTGTAACTTTATACTTTCTTTCATAATTGCAATTGTATTTTTAAATTTGATTACCATGTCTTGATTTGTGGTTTATGTTTCCTCACCTAGAGTCCTTTCAAATATGTAAAATAGGAAATAACATGTGAGTGACAAATTGTTTCATTGCATGCCTTGAATTTAACTTTTGAATAAAAGAAGTGAATAAGGTCTAGAAGTTAAGAAGACTTATAAAAAAGAGGACATAAGAGAGATTGTGTCACCGAATTCGACAAAAAATTCATAAATGATTCTTTTGATAAACATGCATAATAAAATTTGTAATTTTATTATAGCTTCCATTCCTAACAACTTCCATGCATGTCTTAAACAAAAGCCACCTTATTGAATTTTATATATGATACAACCGATATTTTTTTATCTTCTGTCTTCCATACGTGTTCAGAGGATTAGGATGGGGAATTGGGATGCTATGCCTAACAGTTATGGGCGTTGTGACGTTCTACTCTTATTGCCTCATGTATATCTGGAAAAAAATCGCATGTAATTTATTTAAAATTAAAATTATTAGACTAATGAGGTTGAAAAACAGTAACAACCAATTACACTAAACTTAAACAAATTATACTGATACCAAGTTAAGGCTAAATGAGAATTATACCTAAGATTAAATCACAAAGCATATGATATATAGTTTCTGAGATATATAATTAAGGCTATTTATTTATAAATAATTAGGGAATAATTTTCCAAGAGTAAATATACTGAACTATATACTTCAAGCTTAAATATTAGTATATTTTATAAATTACCTAATTTAGTATACCTAAGTACTTCCATCTGCTTTCTATTACGGTAGTCCTGATATATAGGTATACCTAAAATTATGATAATTGACACAAACCACAAAGCATATAATACTACTTCAAACTTTTATGTGTATGATGATGACAGTTTGATACTACAATGAACAATACATGTGGTTATGAATATTGTGTCAGAAACATTTTAAGGCAGTTTATGAATTTTTTATTTTAATAGAGACTTCCAATGTAATGGAGTAATAATTACGTGTAGTGTCATATTTCGTCAATAATTACACCAAATATATCAAATACCCATTGAAAACTTCCAAACAATTTCTTAGTATAATCTATAAAACATCCCTGTATCATATAATTTCCAATTTATACTGGAAGTGCGCGTCAAAAGTTATGCAATTTCCAATTTATACTGGAAGTGCGCGTCAAAAGTTATGCAATATTCCAATTGTTACGACAGTTTCTTAGCAACTATCTCATAGTTACAGTAATTATCAAGTACAAAAAAAACTTCCATGTATCAATTAAAAATAAAACAAAAAATGCACGCAAGTGTAACTGTTAGTTTCCATTAATATCCAGAAATGATGTCCATAAAAGAATGTAAACTAATAGAAATGTAAATAGGAGGAGATGTGATCAATTTTTAATAAATTCATTCAATTATATTTAAAAAAATACCTGACAAAAATAATATCAGAATGAGTTTGTTGAGAGCCTTGATCTACACTACTTTATACATTCATTCCATTATATTTCAAACAAAGGTACCCGTGAAGATTGAATTCTCTTGATAAATTATAGATGAAGTAATAGATCAATTATTTGATCTCCAATAATGGAGGTATGCACGGTTTGACAAAGAAAGGGAGAGAGGGATACGATTAATTTGCAAATAGCTTGACAAATTGAGAGAAATAGTTTGTAAATGGCTTGGAAAGAGACTCACTTTGCATAGAGGACTTAGTATGAACCTTAATAATAGGAAGGACTATTGGAAATAGTGGGAAGTTATTTTTTACAGTTATTATTTAGTATTATTATTAAATAAATCATGTGATAAATTAAGCATTAAGGTAAAGGGTAAATATGAAATACAAATATGAAATTAAGCATTAATCAAGGGTAATTGTGGAACAAAAATAGGCCACACCAAAAAGTTGTATCATTTTTATATATAGTTATAGAAGATATAGATAAATAATAAATAATAAATAATAAAATAAAAATTAAACAAAAATAATAATACAATTATATATTACCAATGTGAATAATAAAAAATAATAATGTGAAAAATTTGGTGTCAGAATAAAAACACCTAAAGGTTCCAAAAGAGTTTAGATTATTCAACCTATGCAACATTATAATGAATATTGTGACTTAACCAATTGAAAACAATTTGAAACCTATCTTTCCAAACATTATTAATAATGATTATTTTCTATAAGAATCATTACTCTCTTAATAGTAGATTCTAAGTAAGATTTTATTTGGCACTAACATTTTACGAAAACAACCTTCCATTAAATTATTATTCCGGTGCCAACTATGAAATTCTGACGTCACATAACACGTGTTGTGAAATAATTGGGCCACATTATTTGGATTGCAACAAAGCTACGATCCAATGATTTGTACCTTATGCAACTTGCAACAATCGCTGTTACTTTATGCACTGTCGTTGCTCATTCTCTCTTTACCTCCCCTATGTTTCCACTTTTCTTGACCATTTTGCCCTCTGCTATTTCGTGAAATTACCAATTCGTCTTGTTGATAACTTGTTATTCTCTCTCTAGATTGTTCCAATTGCACGCAGAAGTTAACTTTTCTAGGGTTTCGAGGTTACGCTGAAACTCGTTAAATAAAGCAAGGTGATGTATACTCTCTCTCTCTCTCTCTCTCTCTCTCTCTCTCTCTCTCTCTCGTATTTGAAGTTGTTGTGATTCTTTGATTCATTTTAATTTCACTCTAAATTCGATTCGATTTGTTTTGGTTTCATTTCTTCATTTGAATTCTGTTTGTGTTTGTGTATCGATATTTCTAGTTTCCTGAGTGAAATATAGTGTTCAATTTAGCGAGTGAAATTGATTTTGAGTTGATGTGTGTTCAATTCGGGAAATTTCGCGGTGATCTATAGTCTTGAAACTGGTTGATGTGGTGTGGTGGATTGAGAAAATATAGTTGAGCTTTTTCTGTTAAGTGGTTAACTTATGCTATTTATGGAAATTTTCAAAAATTAAATTTTTTGTGTTGTGGTAAATTACTGTCATTTATAGCAACTTGATCAATTTGATCCTGTTTAGATTTACTTACTTGAGATTGTCTACCTGCATAAGTACTTAGTTATAAGACTGTTCAAAAGAGCTTATGGAACCAGCTTATGACATGTAACTAATTTGTTTTCAACTTGGGCATGTTTGGATAAACAGCGGAATTGCAGCTTATAGCACAAGTGCTTATTAAAATAAATAGCGCTTATGAATAAGTTCACACAAGCTGTTTTTATGACAAAAGATAAAATAAATTTAAATTGTTTTATATATGTTTTAAGTTATGTTCAATAGGTATATTGAAGAATTTATAAAAATAAGTTCAAAAATTTTTATGAAAAATGTTATAAAATGTTTTGATCAAGTCTTCCAAATAGTGTCACAAAACTTACTTATGGTAGTAGATAAGTTCAAATAAGTCCATCCAAACAGACCTTTATTTCTATAAGCTCTAATATGTTTGGTTTAGCTTTTGAAAGAGCCAAAAGCAATTCTAGAGGTGGAGAATTGGTTTTGGAATGATTTTGAGGTGTTTGGTTCTGCTAAGTAGAATTGATTTTGCCTCTAGAATTGATTCTACTTGAAGCTACAATTTGTAGCTTTTGAGTTTAAACATAATTTTTACATTGAAATTTGTTGCTCAACTCACTTTTACATAAATGATCCAAACATAAATCACTTTACACCAAGTTTACTTTTAAACAGAATCAGTTCTACAAAATTAATTATCTCAAAATCAATTCTCATCCCCGCAGAACCAAACACACAAAAAAAGGTTATGAAAACAACTAGTAGCTTGTATGAAAAAGAGTTGACTTCACTTTCTCTTTTATTATAGAATTAACTTATAGATAAACAATTATAAGATAAGCCTTTAGTTCTATTGTTTATCCAAATATTACGTTTATGTATGATGTATGATTTGAAGGATCTGTGAATGTTTGAACACCTAGGTGCATGAAATTTGAAGACTTGGTATGTAATGGTTTGTTGCTGAAAAGACTTGTAATGAGTTGAAGCCAAATTGATTGGATTTTCTAACTTAATGTTGTAAGAGCCTACTTGGAAGAAAAATTTTAAACATTTGAGCCAATAAAAAGAAACCAATAAGAAACCCTACCAAACACGAATTTGGAGATTAATTGATTGTAACTAGTAAGCTCAAATCAAAGTAACATTAAACTGGAAATCCACAACATACTTTTGTGAAGGGGATTTATTTTTCTTTTCTTGAACTTTGACTACACTAGATTACAACCCTTTTAGTTGAATATTAAATTGTATTTGCATATGAAAGTAAGTTTAGTTTAGTATCAGTTAAATAAGTTGTCTTGAGTTTTTCTAGTTACTATGAAGTAGTGTTGTAAAATATCTGCCATGGAGGATTGCGGTGGCGGGTGTTTTCAACAACCGCCATGGCCAATTTGTGAAGAATGGTGGTGCGATATGACATATTTTTTGCTTTCCGCCATGCTCCACCATTGATAACACTGCTGTGAAGTATTTGTTTAAAAAAATTCAGTGTTTAAGTTTTGTCAATTGGATGAGTGTCAAGATGCTTGCCAACTAAGAGTTTTTATAAACTAGTGTTTTTTCTTTTAGTTTTGCTAGGTGGAGAAAATGATTATCACTAAGCAGTACCGATGCATACATTCAGCTAGCTGTCAATGCTCTAAAGGTCATTTAAGTGAAGATGCGATTTTCTTAGTGTTTCATAATTTAAAATGGAATCCAAAGCTGATTGCTACTCTGTCATGTGTGTGCAAATGGTTTGATGATCTTGCCAAGCGAGTTCTATGGAAAGAGTTTTGTGGAACAAGAGCTCCAAAGATGTTGTGTGATCTGCAATCTACCGGGAGCCATGTTGTTGATGGGAACTGGAGGGCTTTAGGGAAGCTTCTTACATACTGCTCGGGATGCACAAAAGGTGGCTTGTTTAAAACCATTCAGAACCAGATCCCTGGCCACTTTGTATATCAGACTCGGTTTTCTAGAACATCGGGGAAGAGCTTTCTTTTGCCACATTGCAGAACTGATGTTTTATACGTGTCTGATCCTTGTGAGCATCTTGATCAAGGTGAAGAAGAAGATTTAGGATTCTTCCGCGGAGTTTTTAAGTCGTTCGCAACGTCAAAGGTCCGAAAGATGCTTATTAGTAAAGGTGTTAAGCTCCATCAAACAGAAGTTTGCCCTTATTGTAAGGCGAAGCTTTGGAGCATGCAGCAAGCGAAAATGATTCCTCAAAGTGCTAGTTGCAGGCTTGGTTCTTATGAAGATGGTATTGAATATTATGTGTGTCTCAATGGTCACATGATTGGGATATGTACCCTATTACCATTGTCTGATTCAGAAGAGGCACCTGAATTGGATGGAGTAACAGTTCAATGATTTTCAGGTATTTTAGTGTTTCGGAAAACCATAACTTTCTCTTGTGTTTATGTTTCCTAACTTTCTTGATTTGTAACCAAGAGTTTTCTTTGAAAACCAAACCAATTTAGAATGCCATTAGATGGAATTTAATTGGATTTTTTTTTTAGTTAATCATTATTCTTTACTACTCAAATAGAAATCATATTATATAATTTCATAGAATGGCATTTTTTTCATTCTGTAAAACAACCTAAGCCTTTTCTTACTAGGCATGGTTGGTCACATGGATCAATTTCCATCATAAAGCCCTATAAAGAATTAAGTTTTGAAGATAAACCCGTAACTTCTAAATCTATTTTTCTGATTTGGGCCATATTATTTAGAAAGATCTCGAGATTAACGATTTGGATAGAAGTATGGTCCTGGATAGAATATTATGGCGAAAGTTGATCCATGTGGTCAACCCCACTTAGTGGGATAAGACTTGGTTGTTGTTGGGCCATATTTCTCCTTGGCCTCTCTCAATGTATAATTATAGGACTATTCTCAACTCTTATCTTTGATTTCATGTCTCCTCCACACAACCACACATAGCTCTGAAGGGGTGGTCTCCCCCCCTAAAACAAAACAATATGTACATCTACACTTCAAATTCAATGGTATATATTTCCCCCCTTCCCCTCTAAGAGTCATGTTTTAAATTTCTGCAGATTTTTATTTCCCAGCTCCGTGTCTATGTTTAAACCACTCAATATAGGGCCATCCTAACTTTCTCTTTAATGATTGAATTTCTAGTGTTGTCTTGTGTAGCATTCTCATCCAAAGTAAACTACATTGTTTGCAAAGTAAGTCATTTGGACATATGTCAATACTAAAGGAAATATCGAGTACAAAAGTTACCAAAGTTAGGATTATATGCACAATTGCAGCAACGGTACAAAAGTTAGTGAAATTAAGAATTCTATTTTCAGACCTTTAGTAGTTTATATATGGCAATTGTTGGTAGAATTAAGATTAATAATATTTGTGAAAGGCTAGTGATTTTACCCAAAAAGTAAAACTAGATATCAACTATATATCTAGTTTTGACTAACTTTTTTGGTTGTATATGTTAGGAATTGATCATCCAAAGTCAGTTTTGGAAACGGTTTCTGGCTTAGACAGGGCAACCAGACCACTGTCTTTTTTATGAGTGGCGTGTTGATCCCATGGATCGTCTCCTAAGAATGCGTTTTTTTTTTATTTGTCTGAGGGTGTTCTCTTACGTTTTACGCTTTCTCTGTATATCTTTGTTTTTTTACCTTGTTACTGGATTGAGTACCCATTGTTCTTGTCTGTTTGAAATATTAATGTTGCTTTGCTCTGTTTTAGAAAGAGGTTAATTGTATGTGTTATGTGATTAACTTAGTTTGACGATTTAATCACACTTGTGTACTAAATGTTTCTGCAGCTATCATCATTCTTTCTGAATCTGCTAAATTCCAGATTAAGATTATTTTGAAGAAACGCGAACAAGGCAAAAATGGTTGAAAGATTCTTAGATGCATTTCACTTGTGTTGGTGAAGAATACTCGTAGACTATACTACTGAATAGGGTGTAGTATGATCCCTTATCTATCAGTATGTAAGAACAAATTCATGTAAAACAAATTTTAGCTCTGTAATTATGCTATGTTTGGGAGTTTTAGGAGGAGAGGATAAGGCTTTGAAAAAAAAAGCAGGAAAAGAAATATGAAGGAAGCATAATCTCTCAACTTGAATGAGGGATTTATTTGGTTTTCATAATGCAAAGTCTCTCTTATATGGCCGAGCTCAGAAATTTTAGAAGGCTTACAATAATCAATTAAAATTTTAACAATCATAAATTCTTTAGTTTCAATCTCTACAAATTTTTTAATTAAGTTGAAAATTTTCTGTCTTTTTTTTCTCCTTTCTTCTCCCAAAACCCTCTCATTTATTAATGATAGTGTTGAATTAAAAAAATGTCTAAATATATATACCAAAATCTGAACTTGACACCGAAAATCTGAATAACAACCTCTTATCTAACAATTGAACTATATGCTGGTATCTCACTCACTACATCATTTCCTTCTTGTACCATGTGATATACCATGTTTATTTTATGCGAATGATATTAATCTACGGGAATTACTTATTCCATCCCACGTGGTTCTCTTTTACCACAGGAAAAATCACAACAATCTTTACATCAGGAGATATTTTTCTAAACGCATTTTTTAAAAATATTTATTAGTGTAAATTAGTGGTCACTTTTATTTTGTTAAAATTTAAATCGGAGATGTATCTTTATGTTAATATTAGAGTGAATTCGGTGATACATCTTCGTAAAAGTTATTATTTTAAAATTTATAAAATTTTACGGAGATATAATTTCGAACGCGTTTTATTCATAAATTTGTGTCAGATCCTTCCCTTTTCCTTCTCTATTTGCTGAAAAGTCAATAGAACTGCATTTTCACCCATTTAAACAAGTTTATTCAAGGCCACTCACCCTATTCTACTTCATTTGATACAAAGTCATTCTCTCCATTCAAGTATTTCATCCACAACTCTAATTTAATAAATTTCTCATTTTATTATTATTATTATTATTATTATTATTATTATTATTATTATTATTATTATTTTATTTTTCAATGATGTTTTAGGTAACACAAGTTGTTTAAGATGTATTAGATAGTAATATATTTCAAATAGATAGTTGATATAGACATGCATTCTTATTTGGTGGAAATTTAGGACATGAACGGGGTTTCAATTGTTGAAAATAGTGAGTTCTTGCAGAGATGCATCTTCAAATTTTGTCTGAATTGTTTTTAGAGATGTATCTTTAGATTTGGTTTGGGTGCATTTTGGTTGCAATTTGATGTGATTTTCATATTTTATTACATGTGCAATGGTTGAAAACAACCATGACATAATGTCTTTGAAAGACAACAATTGACAAGAAGTTGGGTGAAGATTGCTTTCGAAAAACAAAGAAGTTGATAAGAAGATGCACGCTGTTTACAGTTATTTACTGCTACTAATATTTTCATAAATTTTTTGTTACACTTATTACTAATATTTAAATTGAACTATTTTCAGAGATGAATCATGTCTCACTTTTCTCGCATTTTTGAGTGAAAAGTTGTGCTTGACTACACTCAAAATTGACCATATGCTTACGCTTTGGCCTCGTTCAGAGAGAATTAGGCGATCGAGTTATTTCAGGTGTATCTTAATTGTCATGTAGCATATGACATTGCTTTATGCACATACATTGGTCATTGCGAGATGCGTCAGATGGACGTCAACTCGTTATACTCCAAATGGCGTATTTGTGGGTGAGCTTTGATATAAAATAAAAATACTTTTAGGTATTCTTAAATTTTCAGGTGCCCGAGGATGGGGTGGGATAAGTATTCCTCTTATCTATATGGGTGACGTGCACAATAATTCATACCTCAAGAGATGAAGATTTTGTTGTGATCCAACCACAAGCTTAGTACCTATTGCAGGTCCTTAGTTTCTTATTTGAGTTTCTTTGCACTTCGATTGAAGTCATGCTTCTCATATCCAAACATCAATTCTTAATGAATCTTGAACTTGACTACTTCACAACATTAAAATTGATATAAGCTCCAGCCAGTTCTGAACGATGCAACTCATTCATCAGATAAGACTAAATAAATATATTTACACTGCTTTGGAGTGACAAGATGATATTTTGTCATTTATGATGTTCGTGTTTGTACCAATACATAGATAGAAAACATCACCACATTTTAAATGTAACTTTGCATCCTAAGAAATAAGGAACAGCAACTAGGATTCATTCAGGAAGTTTGTTGAGCGTGTTCCATGCTTTCTTGTGGCGAAGATTGTGAGTTAGCTTCAATCTTCCTAAAAACTAGCTTTTGCTGTGGAAGTTGATTGTTGGAAAATGACGAAATCTCCGTGTCTACTAAAATTGTGTCCTCATCCTTAAACTCTCCTCTCAGAATACCCTTAGCAAGCTCATTCTCCACATTTTGCTGAATCACTCTCTTGACTGGCCTAGCTCCATAGCTAGGATCATACCCTAAGCTTCCCAGTAGTTGGATGGCAGCATCTGTCACACGGATTTTCATCTTCCGGTCTGCTATTCTGTTCTGCACACGTTCCAACTGCAATAAACCATAAAAAAGAAGAGAAGTTAGAGATGTTAAATGTCATGTAACAAAATCCTGCTAACTTTGCAAGAAGGCTCAATTTAATCGCCATTGCATAATTTTAAACAGTCTGTTACTGTTTTTGTGGTCGCGATGTAATGGTTCTATGATGCCTCCGCAACAACCACAAAGGGACTACAATTTGGGCCATACTAGCATGAATTGTCAATCAAGTAAATTTTGGGAAAAAAGGAGTGGGAGGGGGCGAAATTACCTGTATCCTGACAATGCTATTTATTTGTTCACGGTCGAGAGGCTGGAAAACAATATATTCATCAACTCTATTCATGAACTCAGGGCGAAATATGGATCTTGCGGTGTCCATTACCCTCTGCTTTATGGTTTCATAAGCCAACTCTTTAGGCGCAGTGTCGTCATCTGTGTTTAGAATGTACTGTGATCCAACATTTGAGGTCATAATGATGACAGTGTTGGTAAAACTCACTGTTCGACCTTGTGAGTCGGTTACTCTTCCATCATCCAAAATTTGAAGGAAAACATTGAAGACATCCGAGTGTGCTTTCTCAATCTCATCAAATAAAATAACAGCGTAAGGTCTACGGCGAACTGTCTCAGTAAGCTGCCCTCCTTCTTCGTACCCAACATATCCAGGTGGTGCCCCAATCAATCTTGAAACTGCATGCTTTTCCATGTATTCACTCATATCAATTCTTACAAGTGCTTCTTCTGTATTAAACATGTAGGAAGCTAGTGTCTTAGCCAGCTCAGTCTTTCCTACACCTGTAGGTCCCATAAACATGAAGCTAGCAATCGGACGGTGTGGATCTGAAAGACCTGCTCTTGAACGTTGGATAGCCTCAGCTACTGCCTTCACAGCAGGATCTTGACCTACAACACGCTTATGAAGCACTTCCTCTAAATACAATAACTTCTCCCTCTCTGATTGTTGAAGTTTTGAAACAGGAATGCCGGTCCACTTGCTTACAATTTCAGCAATATCACTTCCAGTAACTTCCTCTCTCAGCATAGACTTCCCGGAGTTCATATATTCATTCAACTCCTTCTCTGCACTCTCAAGTTGTTGTTGCAAGGAATTCAGGCTACCATATTTCAATTCAGCCGCACGGTTTAGATCATACTCCCGCTCAGCCTGGTTGATCTCAAGATTCACCCTGTCTATCTGATGCATAAAAAATACAGAACAGATTAGCATTTGGTGTTGATCATTAATCAAAATAAAACATCATCCAATTAAATTTCAATAATAATTATCAACTCAACCTATACACTTGCACTGGTTTTTTCACATGGTGAAAATAATACAAAAGGACATATATGATGACACACCTCTTCTTTGATTGATTGAATCCGAGTCATTACAGTCTTTTCGTGCTCCCATTGTTCAGTCAGCTCAGCTTGTTTATCTTTTAAGAGAGAGAGCTCTGCCTCCAGACGATTTAGCCTATCTTTAGAAGCCTTGTCTGTATCATTCGTAAGAGAGAGTCTCTCCATCTCTAGTTTCAGGACTGAACGATTAATTTCATCAAGTACAGTAGGTTTTGAAGTGATTTCCATTTTCAGTTTCGCAGCTGCCTCATCAACCAAATCAATAGCTGTATTTGGAAGAAGTTAGCAGTTAGCAGTCAGTGCTCAATGAACATCATTGATTGCAGCCCAGATAAATATTTTAAGCAATAATCTTGGAAGTGGACTTAAAGAGATATAATTCAGAACTACATTTAGGTAAGAGTTTAAAACCAATCCTTCCAAACAGACTAAACTCTGGTCATATGTTAGTTTCTAGCAGTTACCAAGAGCTATAGATTTAAAGATTGTTACAATAATTTCAATAATTACCTTTGTCAGGCAAAAATCTCCCACTGATATATCGATCTGAGAGAATTGCAGCATCCACAAGTGCACCGTCAGAAATCCGGACTCCATGATGCAGCTCATACCTTTCTCGCAGCCCCCTTAGTATTGAAACTGTATCTTCAACAGTAGGTTGATCAACATATACTTGCTGGAAACGACGTTCTAGTGCAGGGTCCTTTTCGATATACTTCCGATACTCATCAAGTGTTGTCGCACCAATACACCGCAGCTCCCCTCTACCAAGCATAGGCTTTAAGAGGTTACCAGCATCCATGGCACCATTTGTAGCACCTGACTCGTGGAAAATTGAAATTGCAATCAAATCCAAAATCCACATGTTAATTTTTAAATTTCATTTAGCATCAGCTACTACATATAAAAGTTTTAATTTGAGAGGCTCATAGGTGTTTAATTAAAGCATGTCATCTATGATCAGAATCCTCGTTGATAAACAGTTTGCTGTAAATATTCTATATTTGTATTTGGCCCATTAAGTTAGAATAGTCTATTTAAATGAATTAGTGTTTGCATCCTACTTACAACTACTTCAAAATTTATTATCAGAAATATTTTCTACAGTACTTTTTTTTTGGTATAAAACTAAATTGCATTAAGTAATAGATATCGATTCGGAAAGATATTAGAATCCCCAAAAATCAGGCATTTGAAAATGAAAAGCTTTGAAGCTTATTACCTGCTCCAACAACAGTATGAATCTCATCAATGAAAAGGATAGTTTGACCATCAGATTCTGTTACTTCTTTAAGAACAGCTTTCAACCTATCTTCGAATTCTCCCCGGTATTTTGCTCCAGCAATAAGTGCACCCATATCAAGTGAGATAAGCTGAAAAGAGACCAGTGCATAAGATCATTTTTACAACTCTAAACTGATATACAAACTTTGGAAGGAGTATAAGATAAGAAAATATTATACCATCCTTTAAAAAATGAAATTAAAACCAGACTGGCAGAGGATATATAGTAAGGATCATTACAGTGAAATTAAAAATGGGATAGAAACTTAAAAACCAGTTACTTTTATTGTATGGTTCACTTTTGCCCGTTCTCAACCCAGGCCAGTTCTATCAACAACAGCCTAAGCATTTTGATAAAACACATACCCTACGGTTCATCAAAGCTTGAGGAACATCTCCTTGCACGATTCTCTGAGCAAGTCTGTGTCAATGACAGAAATAGGTCAACAAGCATAACATATTAAGGATTACAAACACAAGCATCAAAATCATGATGCAAGGAAGAAAATAATTATGGTGCTTAATAAAAGGGAAAATAATCTAATGTCAGGCAACAATTAGGAGGAAGAACTAAGGAGATACCCTTCAGAAATTGCAGTCTTCCCAACACCAGGCTCACCAATCAGCACAGGATTGTTCTTTGTTCTCCTAGAGAGAATTTGGATGCACCTGCGTATTTCATCATCTCTTCCTATAACTGGATCAAGTTTTCCTGCTTTTGCCATTGCTGTCAGGTCTTTTCCATATTTTTCCAGTGCTTCATACTTTCCTTCAGGATCTATAGCAAACGTAAAGTAATGTTTGATCAATAACAAATGCAGACAATCATATACAATGCGTAGCTTCTAAAAGCTTGTAGAGAAGAAGTTCAAGGGTAACATGAATCCACTGCTTCACAATTTTCCCAAAGATATGGAAGTCTTCAATGGGACAAAGTTAACAACTCAAACAACCCTTTCCGCCAAACAAAAGTAATAGCACAAGGAAAATGAATAGCACAAAGACATAACCATGTAATAAAAAAAATAGAATAAGAACAATGGAAAATGTCATTACCTTGATCAATTACTGACTGGTGTCCCCTAATGGACTCGACTGCAGATTTTAGAACCTGCTTAGATATTTGAAAATCTTTAAAGAGTTGCTTCCCAAATCGTTGATCCTGGATAAAACCTAGAACCAAGTGTTCAACTGAAACAAATGAATCCCCATAATCTTTCTTGAAGTCCCTGGCTCTCTGAACCAATGCCTCTAAATCGCGCCCCAACATTGAACCAGCAGATTCCCCTACAATCTAAACATGATTGAAAATGAGTCAATCCTCTGAGCTTTTGAGGTACACAATAAAGAACCCCAAAACAAATATCTAGGGCCTGTTTAAGTTGACTTATTTAAACTTATCTATTGGCATAAGCACTTGTAAAACTGTTTGAGAAAGCTTATGAAAACAACTAATGACATATACAAAAAATGTTTTAAGCTTATTTCCACAAACTCCCCAGAATAGCTTATATAAAAACAATTAGAATTTGTTTTATCTTTTGTTAATGAAATAGCTTATACATATACACTTACATGATATGCTCCTATTCTATAAATGCTTAATTAATCTATTTAGCCAAACATGGTCCTAATCCACTAACGGGTAAAGTAGTAGTGAGGTTAAACTGAATCAATCAACAAAATACAAAACTGCAAGTGCTCATATTGCAATTAAAACTTGTTCAAACTTAATTGAATACCTTGGGTTGCCGCTGAATGTACTTGTCAGTAGCTTCGAGAAGCTGAGTATTATCCACCCCAACCTTGGAAAAGATCCTGCGAGCAAGTCCATTCTTCTGCTCCAACAAAGCCTTCATCAGGTGCTCTGTCTCCACAATCTGATGCTTGTTCTCTTTAGCCACCTCCGGCGACGAAACTATCGCCTGCCAAGCCATCTCTGTGAACTCTTGCTGTGTAATCTGCCATTGCATCAAAACCCCAATTCCCAACATCAACCGCTATACCTCACAAGCTATAACACACATAACAAACAAAATACAAATTTACCAATCTCCAGTTCTGCAAATAAGCTGAGAAATCTATCCATGTAGTTCTAAGTTGGTTGAGTTTGGCTAGTTAGTTAGTTAGTCAATGGATGATTAATTGCTTAATTTTCAACTAATAAATGGTACATAATTCCCTTTGGTTCCAACATAATCACTTTTATTAATTCAATCAATTTGTTTTTCAAACAATTTAACCGTATTAATTATGATTAAAAGAAAAAAAATTGAAGCAATATTAATTGTGATGATGATTGTTACTGTAACAGTTACCCTTCCATTTCCAGTTGAAGCTTCACAGCGAACAGAGAAACGCGAAGACTTCGATTGAGTTCTACAAAATCCATTTCCAAGAGAATGTCTTCGATTGAACGAAAACGATGATCTGAGGGAAACTGGTTTAGCAGAGAAAGAGAGGGAAACATGGCGAGGGTGAGAAGAGCACCGAGCATGGTTTCTGTGAGATGAAATTCGAACTGTGTGAGAAAGAGAAAACGACGTCGTAGAAGCCATTACTGAGAGTGATGATTACTGATTTAGTAGTAAGAAAGTGTTAGCGGAGAAGAAAAGAATAAGAGAAAGAGTAAAGAAGAAATTATTAATGAATTTATGAATTATGATCCTTCAATGGAATATGCAAAGCAATTTAAAGGATTAATAAAATTATTTTATGAAAAATAGCCGTAGCCGTTAATTATTAAAAAATTAGGTAAAATTGTTTTATTAATTAATTACTGAAAATTTGAAAAATAGGAAGAGTGTATGTGTGTGGGGAATTCTGGCAACTTCGTGAAAAATGGCGAAGCTGCTAGACTAAAAGCCGAATGCGCCGTATACAGATTTCGCCACGTGGGCTATTTTTAATGGGATTTGTATGTCACTAGATATTGACATTATTTTTAGTTTTTTTCTCTATCAATAAATTCAGATAAAAATAATATATTTGGTTTTAGGTAAATGTAAACTATTTAAAAAAATATTTTATTAAAATGTGAATCAAAGTGATTTGAATAAGTTGCTTAGTGAAATTATTTAAATGTCTTTAAATTATGAAAATGAATCTTCAGACGGATTAAATTTTAAATGAATATTAAAATATTTTAGAGATACATGTTCATAACAATTTAAAATATATTATATAAGTCATTATACACGTAAATTGAAGCAAAGCCATTATAAATGGAATTTTTTTTAGAATAACTATATATTAAATAATATTTACCAATATATTGCATGATTTGAAAAAAATTTCTAAAATGGCCAACTAATTAACGTCCGGTCGTCATCCCAATTGGCGAAAGTGTGTAAAATGGAAATCAAAAAAATGTAATTCGCCACATCAATTGACGAATGAGTGTAAGCTGTAATGCCTTCTCAGCATTTCTCCATGGAGAGTTAAATGAAGAAGTTTGCATAAAGGCACCACCTGGATTGGAACTACCTCATCATAATCTTGTATGCAAACTTCAAAGATCCTTGTATGGACTGAAGCAGACAAGTAGATAATGGAATACCAAACTCACTGTTACCCTAATTGCTAGTCACTAAATTCAGTCAAAGGTTGATTATTCCCTATTTACAAAGTCTTCACCAATAGTATTTACAATCATCCTTGTCTATCTGGATGACTTAGTCCTAGGAAGGACTGCTCTTGAAGAAATTATACAACTTAAGCACTTCTCCATGCCAAGTTCAGTATCAAAGATCTAGGAGTTTTGAAATACTTCTTAGGCTTTGAATTAGCTAGGAATACACAAGGTATTTCATTGTGTCAGTGTATATATGCACTAGATCTCATCAATAATGCAAGCCTCATTGGTGCTAAGCCATGCAATACACCAATGCAACCTCACTTACAACTTTTCCAAAATCTTGGCAATCCTATTTCTGATTCCACTGCATATCAAAGACTCATTGGTGGATTGTTATACCTTACTCATTCTTGACGAGACATTGCTTATGCAGTAAGTAAACTTAGTCAGTTCCTTAATGCACTAACTTATCAACACATGCTTGCTGGCCTTCATGTTTTTCGATTCCTAAAAAAGAATCCTGACCAAGGATTATTCTTCAGTACTTCCAACACCCTTCACCTCAAAGGATTCTTCAATTCTGACTAGGGTGATTGCCCAGATTCACGAACATCCATAACTGGTTTTTGTTTTTTCTTAGGCAAATCTCTCATCAGCTAGAAAAGTAAGAAGCAAGTTGTTGTCTCTCTATCATTTTCAGAAGTTGAATACCATGTGTTGGCTCATGCTACTTGTGAAGACATATGGTTGTTTTCCATACTTTATGACTTCAAGGTTTCACATCAACTTCCCTTTATTCTTTATTGTGACAACAAATGTTCCATGCATATTGCAGCAAACCCAGTTTTCCATGAAAGAACCAAGCGCATCGAGATTGATTGTCATGTGGTGTGTGACAAGGTCCTAGCTGGAATATAACATCTCATGCTAGTCACCTCAAAAGAACAATTTGCTAACATTGTCACCAAATCTCTACACCCGGGGCCATTCTCGAGTCTTCAAGCCAAGTAAGGAATGATTGATATTCATTCTAGCTCGAGGGGGCTTGTTAGAAGTAGTTAGACATTATTTGCTATATAATTAAGCTTTCACTCTTGTAATTGCCATGATGATGAGTAATAACTAATTTAACATACTTATTTCTCTAAATTCAATCTTCTTCTTCCTTTCAATATGTACAAAGCTTAAAGCTTAACAAAAATCAGGAATTAGCTTTTGGAAAAACCGTAGCTAATTTGAAGCGAATCTCTATCAAATAGAGTTAGTTAGAGATTAGTTGTAGATTAACTACAAAATATTTCGTAGCTTAGATTGGGTGGCTAATTATCTAGAGTAAATTTTCTTAGTAAAACTCCAACTAATATTTTGTAACTCATAGCTAAACCACATCTAAATCGTAGCAAAATACCAATCTTCTATTATGTTTCCAAACAAAATAGCTACAACTCACATCAAAAATATCATAAAAAATATCAATCTAAATTAGGCTATATTATATTTTAGCTTTCCTAGTCAAAATCGATTAGGCTTTAAATTATTAAAAAAAATATTCCTAGAATACTACTTTTGAAAGTATCATATTTGTTGATAATTAAGCATTAGTTAAATAAAACACGTTAAAGTTATTAATAATTTTTCATTTAAGATTATACTTAATTAGTAAAATGAGAGAATTTTTTAATCCAAATAATCGAAATTTTCAAATAAATACTCAAACTAACCGACTTTTCCATATATTTTCCAAACTAATCTCACATAGGACTTATCAATCCAATTGACGACAGTGTACAACACATAAGACGAGGCGTCAATCATCTTGGTGACATTCTACAGGATACATGCATCAATACAGATCCACTATTAAAGGGAATTTCGTCTAGTTTCCGAAAAATCAAGAATTGTTCAATTCCGAGTTTTATAGGGAGAGAGTTATTACCTTTTGAATGGAGACATGTCAAGAATCTAAACTCTACACAACTCCTCAAATTCTTGAATTACTTATACATCTTACTCCTCAAACCCTAACTCATCTTTGATATAAAGATGGAGATGAATTGACAATGATGATTGTGATTCACTTGACTTTTGTTCTTCTTTTATGATCACTAAGTTTTACTCACATAGTCACATGCATGTTGATGATGAGTTTTAAATCACACTTCCTTTCCTTTCTTTCCTCCCCTTTCACGTTCCCTCTCTCTATCTTTCTTTTCCCTCTCAATCTGATTTTTCTACCAAGGGAGTATAGTAAGATAATGAGGAAAAAATGTCTATTATAACCTTATAAGGGTCTCATAAAGACAATGTCATTTTTTCCTTTCACCTATGCTATACTTACTAACTTGCCATATTGTTCAATCTTAACAATTAACTCAATTCATTCTTAACCTCCACATAACATAAATAGGAAAATTGAGATGTTACACATACCCAAACTCCAACTCAAATAACTAAAAATTTTGTTGGTAACAATCTTTCTCAACTCTTTGGTAGTTTCAAAACTAAAATTTTTTAGAATCATAAGATACATACTTTCATAATAAAATCCTCAAATCTCCTAAACTTTCAATTCTAAGATCACTTTTAATATATATATGCAAGTTACAATTAATGAAAATAACAACTATGTGTTTGGAAAACAATAAAAGTAACATTGAAGTGTTTTGAAAAATATTATATTCCATATGTTGTTTGGTGGATAATAGACATAATAAATATAAGATAAAATTATTACACATTTGTTGTAACTAGTTGAAACCACTGACTTTGAGGATCATCCAAACAAGAAGGACTATCATCTACACATATGCATTTATTTGTAACAATTTTAGGTGAAGTAGGGGACTCCCTTTCCAAGCACAAGTTATTTCCCTCTCTATCCAAAGTACTCAAATGAAGATTTGATGCTGATAATTTTTTCCAAAAACTTTGCTTGCTCTTGCAATTACTTGACAGCTTCACTTGAGATCCTTCACTAATTGCTTCCATGCAAGCACCATTTTCAACCAATTTAATTTGTTGTCCTTCTTGATTCCACTTATTTGGCCCCTCACATTCACCTAATTCAAGTTTATCATTATTGCTCACTCTCACACATTGCCCACTTAATGGGTGATACATTATGTAGGACTTGCTTGAATTTGAATTTGCTTCTACAAAATTATGAAAATTAAAATCAACTTGTCATTATAAAATATTATATAAATTAAACCATAGTAAAAATATCATACCTAGAAGCTTTTTGTGTAAGAGTTGAAATCTTTGTGGAAACTCTGTATATCGAAGTGACCTAAAATAAATGTTCCATAGACCAAATGTCTCACTGACCCTAGTCTCATTCTTTCTAACATAATATGCACCTTGGGCTGCCCACAAAGCCCAATCCAAATCATTCCCAACAAGATAAGCCATTATACAAGACATAAATCTTTGATTCATGTTATCCAAAGCTTCCATGTTCATACCAAATTCAGTCATAACCAATGCACTTGGGTTGGAGCCACTCATGAGAAATCCTGCTTTGTCATTCAATCCATTCATTACATTGGCGCATTTTTGGTTTAATGGTTTCTGAATCCAATCACTTCGTGACCCACTTGACCAGGCATAGGAATGTACCTCATACACCAATTTGTTACCTATGTTTGTGTTTAAAGGATTTGTTTTCAAGAAACTTAAATCAGTGTCATAGCTCAAGCCTGATACAAAGACAAGAACATCTGGATTTGCATTGTGAACGGCTGTAGCTCCTTGGCTCATGTATTTATGCCAACTGTTTTGGTTTTGATTTGGACCTCTTAGTTCATTTCTTAGCCCTATTGCCACAACCTATATAATTAAAAAAATTAACCATTTAAGAGATAGTTTGGTTTTTTAATATGTCAAAGTAATGGATGTATGTATCTATAAATCTTGAAATATTTATTTAATATTTTAGAATTTCTAAGCTTTTTTATATAAAAAATAATTAGCGTGAAGGAA